TGAGAAAACAGGTGTTACACTTCATAGACCAACTTAATTTTTTATATATATATATACAACATATATATATAACATATATATAAATTTTTCCCCCTTTTTATTTCAGTTAATATTGCTAGTGGAGGAGTTCTTTATGTTAAAATACTACTACTTAATAACTTTTATGAGTAAGTGTATAATTCAGATACTCTGTGTCAAAGTGTTCTGCTGCTTACTCAGCTGAAGTTAGCCAAAACAAGTGGCTTGGACTGTAGTATTAAAATACATTGCACCATGTGTTGTTCTAGCTTTTAATTCCTCTCTCAACATACTTAGAAATTCCTGCTTACCTTCTGACTAGCCTCTTGTATGTGAAATTTAATTCCTGAGTTTGCCAGCCTGCCATGTATCTGGATGCATAGATCAAGCTAACACTCCTCATCTGTTTTTTTGCTTTTCAGTTAAATGACTTGTCAAAACATTGTGCACAATCTAAAACTTTTTTTTTAGTGCTCTGAGGCTTCTCTTTGTTTACTTGATACACATGTGACTGTTGTGCAACAAATTTCTTCCTTTCATGAAGTGCCTGTTTTGGAAAACTAGTGTTAATAATTTAAAATAGAAACGTTTTGTAGCACTAGGCATGTTCTGTTGTGAGTTTTCAGGTTATATGCCAGAAGGTTAAGACTCAAACATAGTGCTCAAAAAGGCAAAGGTCTTGCTAGTGGAATAATACATTGATTTATGTGTTCTGTTAGTGAGGAGTGTGTCGCTCCTGTTGCTGGGCACAGAACAAGGACTAAAAGTATCTCATCAGTGAGAAGTGTTGGGAGCTGCTCCACCATTCCTCCGGTAAATATTGTTGTTTTTCTGCTCTTATTACTCTCAGACCCTGTTACATTGCACACAGCTGCCAGCACCTATTTGTTAAACTGTCCTCTGGCATTTATCATGTTTACAAACACTGTTACCATGTCATCCATAGCAGAATGAAGCACAGGTGCACCTAACATGAAATTTCATAAAACTACTGCAGTTTTGTGTAAATGGCAGTCAGTGTTTTTCAGTGTTTATACTGTGGAGGCAGGAGACAGTCTTGACCTTGTGAATATTTACAGGAAAGAGCCTCACAATGGGAAAACTGGAGCAGGAATTGCAAATCACTCCTGACTGCCCATCTGTCTTAGGAACACTTGTGGCAAGTTGTTGTTTTCCATTAGAAGCACTCAGATCTTTGTAATCTAAACTTTAGAAAAATCAAGGTGCTAAAAAAAATAGGCACAAACTAAATAATTACTGTTGGACCTGAAGTGTTCTAGAATATTATCACCTCTTACATTTTTGTGGAAGTAATGTGTTTTGCATCGAGAGGTGCTGGTCCTTTATCATTTCTGTAACAAAAGACACTTAAAACTCTGTAAGGCAGGACTTAAAGTGCTATTTTTTAGACCTAAGACTGGGAGAAGACCATAGCATAGATAACCCCTTTAGATGCTAGGAGTCCTTGGGGTGTGGCATTTAACACGCAGGCAGCATTCCTTGCAGACTTTGTCCACAGCAGAGAATCTTCCTTTTCTGTCAGCTGATTTGTTTTATGATTTTCTTACAAGGAAGCACCTCTACCCATCCTTTTTGCAGTCCACATCATGTTCATGTTGGTTATGAGAAAGGGCTGTTGTTGTGTTGTGGTGCTAAATGGTCTAAAGAAAGTTCTGATGCTGAATTGTTTGCTTGTAGGAACTGGTGAAGCAGAAGATAAAACGTCAGCTGACCAAGCAGCAAAAGGCTGCTCTGAAGCAACGACTGCAAAAGGGAGAAGCAAATGTTTATACCAAACAACGCAGGGAAAATATGCACAACATCAAGTCAAGCTTGGAAGCAGCCAATTTCTGGGGATAATTTATTAAAGGTCCTGTGGAACATGAGAAATGTATACAGAAAGAATAAAGCTAATTTACCAATTATCGTCTTTAATAATTGAGCAGTCTCTTCTATGCAAACCCAGTGTTTTTCTGGAAATTAATAAACCTCATTCTGGTTCCTGAGATTTTGACTTGGGAGGGATTGTGTTTTGTGTTTCTGGTCAAAACTGTTGACTGTAATTTACATTGTATTAGTGGTACTGGTTAAGATCATGGCAGTGATTTCCAGAAGCATCTCGTTGTAAATCAGTTGTACTTTGTAGTGCAGAGGATTTCTCTTAAAAGGGAAAGAAGGTAAATTTTTAAAACCAATTTCTGCAATTACACAAGATTTAAGTACATGCATATGATGAAGATGCCTTCTTTGAAGCCAACAATTCTCATATTTTCCTTCACTCTGATATCTTACATAAGGATTTCAATAGAGCCTGACCATGGGTTCTCCACTCTGCTTCACCCTCCATTTCACCCCCTTAGAATGTGCTAAAGGCTGCAGATTGTGCATGTGGGGAGTCATCGTGGAATCGGTTCCAGACATGCTCTGCATACCGTCTGACTCCTATCACATTACAATCCATGGAAAAGGATTCAATTCTTGTTCTCATTTGGAATCTGATTATTCAGATACATCTGTTAAGTGAAGGCCACTACACTTTCTGAACACAGAATATGTATATAATGATTTGAAGGAAGTGGCTAGTGAAAATAAACATGCCAAACCTTCCCATCAGAAAACATTTTTCTGTGAGTGTGATTGAAGCATTTGGATGAGATTCTTTTCTCACTTATAGTACCATAAGTCAGTGGCAACTTCACTAAACTCATCAGAGTAAAAAAGTCCAAAATTTAGTTTACTTGTTCATCCCTTACTGTCCACCTTGCAATCAGAAATTATGTAAGGTTTCAGGAAAACTAAGCTCTTTGTTAGTACCAGTCTTGACCTATGACTCAGTTGTCACAGATACTTCCATTTCTTTTGGCTTTACAGTTCTGCGTTTTTATAGTAAGGCTAAAAAGGAATTTAAAAAATTATCCTTAGTACCTATGCAAAGCTTCAGGAAAAGATTAAAGTGGAAAAATGTAACTCCCTCATGATCAGGATATTTCACAATGCTTACATGCTGTATAGAATTGGAGTATTACATTTTTATAGTATTTCAATACCTTTTAGTCTCTGAAAGGCCATCAGATACACTTTTATTCCCAAGGAAAAGCCTTAAACATTTAGTTTGGCTTATAAAGTGAAGTTACTGACATTAAATAATATGAACTTTATCGTGTGTCTTGTTAAACAAGCCCTGTTATTGCTGCCCTAATTGTAGGATGCTCAACCTTTACATTCTATGAAAAGTGTTGTGAACAAATCCTAAAGCTGTGGTGCAGACGTATATGTTGAAATGGAATATATTTAGCATAAGTTAGTAAATGGTAAAGTTGTTCTGTGTTGCTCCCTGCAATGTGGGGAGACCAGATGGCCCAGCCTCCAGCAGCATTTTAAACCCTTATGCAGGCTACTGTGTCCCAAAATTCGATGGCCAACATCTCAGCTCAGGTAAGATGTAACGAAAATAACTTTGGTGGCTTGTAAGGTAAGCAGTTTTTTTTCAGTAGTGAATACTTCAGAAAATAGGCTTTTCTATTTCAGTCTTAAAACCTTTATTGCATTTGCAACTGGCTATTTAAAATGCAGCAGGAGCTGTAAAGATGGATTTTTTTAATTATTATTTTATTGAAGAATCATTGAAGTATAGCCTTTTTCCCTTTTCACCCACAAAATAGGAGTCTCTTGAGTTACATCTCTGGCAGTCTGGTAGTGGTGACCCTCTGAAGAGATGAGAGTTTACACAATTAGCTAGCAGTATGAAAAAAAGAAAAAAGGTAGTAACAGGAAAAAAATCCTTTTAGCAAGCACTGATTTAATGACATAATTAAAACCTAAAGGCTGAATAGTATCAAGAAGTTCAAAGGGCACCATGTTGAAAGTAACAGACACTAATTCTTGAATCCCCCTGACTGAAGGCTGACTCAGTTTAAGCCTGTTCATGGGGCTTTTGTAGTCCAGAGCCTCTAAAACATCATTTCATGAATCTTACCTGCATATAATACCTAGTTCCCACTGACAGTAGTGAAGAATACAATGTAGGCACAATTATCTTAGTTCTGTTCAGGAATACAAATTTTGCAAAAAGTTTTCCATACGTTTTATAAAGGATTTGACAAACAGTTCTTATTTGAAGTCATGTGTTCCAAAAGTCCTTTAACAGCCTGGGGAATGCTTGCACTTTCAACAGCAGTCTGAGGACCTTCAGAATTATTACAAAGCAATATTAGTCTTTCAGAAAATATTACTGATACATTATCTGATCCAATACATCTTTTAGCCAGTTTTATTTCATACAACCCTTTGCCTTTTGTTGGCCACAATACTAAATACATCCAGTATATATATTGGATATATCTGGACAATGGTCAATCCATAGTTGTAGCTTTGAGAAGATTTTAAGCCTTTGACTATGATTAACTTGAAATCATAATTGTTATTTTGTTTTGGGAGCTGTTAAGTTGGTAAATAGTTAACTGGTTACTGAGCTAGTTAGATATGAAAAAAACTAAATGGCATGCAAGAACTATTTAGTTGGAGACACTGGAAGCTGTAGACCGGAGGAGAATAATTGAAATCTCAGTAGTAGAAACAAGCTACTTCACTTTCCTTTAGTTTGCTTTTCTTTCAGCTCCCTGTGAGCAAAAAACTTAAGATCAAGATGTGTGTGTGAAGGCACAAGGGAATGCAGGGATGGACGTCCCATTGTGACACCACTGGTTGGTGGATACATCACTGGGTGGTGGATTATGACATCACCAGGGAATGGATTGTGACCTTGTGTTCCTTGCTATTCATGTTCAGGTGCAAGACTGAGTGGCAGATTGTGACCACTGATCAGCAGATTGTGACATCACGAGGGGACAGATTGTGATGTCATGTCATGTCCCTCGTTTGGGTGCTGCCAGAGCCTGGGTCAGACTGGCTCCAGCTCTACAGTGCCTGTGAGTGGGAGCAGCTCCTGGACCTCTGCTCCCCCCAGCCTGCTGGGACCAGACATGGCCACGGAGACACAGTGGAGCTGCCCCATCTGCCACAGCACTCGGAATGACGTGGCTTCCACTCTGCCCTGCCACCATCAGTTCTGCCTGGGGTGCATCCTGCGGTGGGCAAAGACAAACCCAGCGTGCCCACTTTGCAGCAAGCCAGTGGAAACTGTCAGGTTCTCTGAGCGGGGCGAGCAGGACTACATCCAGTTTGAAATCACAGCCCCCGAGGAGCGATTGGAGACCAACTGCCGGGCAGGGAGATCTCACTTCTGCCTGGCCGAGAACAGCCCCCAGCGCCCTGTGGTGCCCACTCCACCTTCTCCACAGGGAACACTGTCCCCAGCTGGGCAGGAGGATGCAGGGCCAGAGCCCGTGGGTGGCATCCCGCCCGAGGCGTGGGCAGCACTTTTCCGTTGCCAACAGCACCTCCTGGACCCTGCACGATCCTGGCTGCGCCAGAGGCTGGCTGCACTCTACGGGGAGCAGTGGTGGAGGGTAGAGGCTGCAGAGGGATCCATCCTGCATGGTCTCTGCGCCTGTGGGCTGCATGCTGAGGTCCTGGTGGAGGTCCTGGAGCCCCTTCTCAGCAGGCACACAGCACCACTGATCCATGACATCATCAGTGTCATTGTGGGCCAGTGCAGCGAGGAGGCACAGAGACTGCAGGGCTTCCACCAGGCCAGAGATGAGGACAACAGGCCTGCAGCCAGACCCAGCTCCAGCAGCTCCCAGGAGAGAACTCCTACCACCAGCCCTGCAGGCTCCAAGGTAGAGGAGGGAGCTGATACATCACAGACTGGCTTCCAAGGGAGTCCCAGCTGCCCTGGAGCTGTGCCTGACCCTGCAGAGCAGGACCAGCCCCGGGAGGGGCCAGAGCAGCCAGAGGGTCCCTGTGCCCAGGGCAGCAGCCGCAGCCCCTCCGCTCCTTGACTACTCACCCAGGGGATCCCAGCAACCCTCAAAGAGGAGGGTCCCCAGCCCCCAGGATTCTCCTTAGCCCAGCAAGAGGTGGCCTCGCAGGTTGGCAGCAGCAGGGCTCCAGAAATTCTTTAGCTGAGCAGAAGCAAATAAATGACTATTTCCCTGACAAAGTCTTGAGGTGCTGCTTTCTCCCTCTTATGGTGCCTTTCCCTGTCCCTCAGGCCCAACAGTCATCTGAGGGCCCCCAGAGCTCCCAGGGCCATTCCAGAAGCACCTCCTCACACAGGAAATCCCGCTGCAGCTGCTGTGGGGGAAGGGCTTCTAAAACAGTGGTCATCCTGTCAGATGTTTGGGGCTGCCTGCAGACAGGACTCACCCCACAGGAATCTGGGTGGCAAGAACATGCTCCTAGGAGGAGGCCACCTCACCTGGTGGCCTTCTATGATGGCCTGACCCTGTCCCAGTGGACAAGGTTGCAAATGCCACTGGTCTGGAATTCTGTAAGGCTTTTGACACAGCTCCTACAACATCCCTCCCTTCAGTGGAGGAGAGATAGATTAGGACAAAGCATAAAAACCGAGTGTGGGTCAACAGATGTGTAAGCATAAATCCTGCTTAGAATAAGGAATCAGAATGTATCCTGAAAAGAAGGACCAGCACCAGGATGAGCCATCTCTACCCAGCCTGCTAATCATGGAGACACGGACATAGAAAAGAACTAAGGGTTGCCAGAGGCCAGCAGCCAGGCAGAGGCAGATGCCAGCACCCTGAAAACAGTTTTAGATATCAGTGTCTTCAGCTTCTCTGTCTGGGGTTTCTTTGTTTGGTCAGTTTGTTATTTGGTTTTGTCTTGATTGGTTCATTCCAGATGATCTTCATTTTCATTAGGGCTCATTAGATGCTGACACGCTGCTTCAGATAAGGCTAGAATAAACATTTTCATGCATATTTTCCTATCATTTTTATCTTCTTTCTGACAAGAATGTCTAAACATTCTTTTAAAAAGATTTAATCTTGCAACTGCTGTGGGTCAGAGAAGGGGTTTTTCTGCATTAGAAAACCATTGCTTAAATAGTACTAGATGACTAACTAGTTTCCAAATTTTATATACACTCACAGCAGAGAAACCTGTTATTGTAGGGTAACTGGAGAATATTCTTATCATTATTACAGATACTCAGAAATTGAAAAGAAGAACCCAAATTTAATTCTCAGTGACCAACTGGTAACTACAGTTCCCAACATTTAGTGAAGTGTGAGCTAAATGTCGATGGACTGGAAGATACTGTTACTGTAAAATGCTAAAAAGTTGCTGTCACTTCATAAAAAAAATCCAAAAAAACCCCACAGAAACAAACAAACAAGCAAAACCCCCCTTTTTTTTTTTTTTTTTAAATTTAAATCTTGCCTATGGTAATGTATTTTGATTTTTTCTCAATGCCTTCTACCCAGCCAGTGTCCACCACATCCCCACCAAGCTAAGTGTAATCAACTGTAGCAATCAAAGATCAAAGAGTAGACAAGTTTGTCACAAAACTGAGCCTTCTGAAAGAATGATTTCTGTTAGAGACTCCATCAGCTCTTTCTGATTAAATCTCTTTCCTCCATTAATTCCCAGTTCTCATAAATACTACACAAATTCATCCTTAATTAAGGGCCTTTTTTCACGGTGAATGTATTTCTTTATATTTTGATTGATTGAGTTGATTCTGAATTTGACCTATTCTTTTGTTCTACTTTTTTCTTCATTTTCAGATTTCTCAGTCACAACTACAATGCCACAATCAAAAGCTTAGCAGTTCTTAGGGGCTGAGGGCCCATGCTGGAGAGTCATAAGCCATAATAAAAATAAAGGAGCAGTCACTAGGATTTCAGCAGAAAATGTTTTTTGTTCCTAAAGCAGCTGACAAAGGACTGAACTTTCACTGAGTTCATTATGATCCATTGTGGAAGGCATTTTTTTCACTAAATACATGCTTGATTTTATATTTGAAAAACAGTATAAAAAGGAAAGATTACTACAAAATCTGTTTTCAAAAACATGGATACTTGTATAAATAAATACACATACATAAAAGCTGTTGTTCCTTGTATTTCAAAAAATGCTACATACAAATTTATTCCAATTTTGTATTAACGCTTGTCGAGTAGAAAATTAAATACAAGAAATACATGTATTAGTTGTATATATGAACAAGATAGAGATCCAATGGCTCGATCTAAAAGCATGAAGTATAAAAATTGCACAGTAACATCTCAATTACACATTATCATGAAGCAAAGTAATCAGTATTTCAGGAAAGCAGTAAAAAAAGCAGTGATTAGACTCTGGGCAAACAAACATTTGTGCTAATATGTAGATATACTACAGGAAAAATTTACAGATGGTAGAAGTCCGCATTATTTAAACACTTAAATCCCCTTTGTTTTCCCACCTCATAGGTTCACATCCAGAGCCTCCCAAAAATTCCTGAAAACACTAAAGGCAACAGAGTTCAGCTGAACTTTATGTGGGGAGAACTTGTCATTAAGGACTGACCCAACATACAACTCAGAATTATTTCTCATTTAATTTTGTTTATTCAGCCATCTACTCCTCTAATAGATTTTCTTTAACTGATCTGGATTCTATTTGCAAATAATTTTCACGCTCCCTAAACTGTATTGGCTGATCAGTAATGCTGTTATTTTACTGAAAAGGTTATTGCAACAAAAAAGCACAAACAAACTTTAACTAACTTACCATTTAAATTAAAACATTACGTGTGCAAGTTTAAAATCTGACAAGTAAAAAAAGTCCAGAGCCACCCCAGGGCGCACCGCCGGCCGAGTCCCTCCCTCCGGGACGAGGAGCCGCCGCCCAGCTCCGGCCGGGCCGAGCAGCGGCTTCAGCCCCGGCTCCCGGCAGGGTGAAGGAACGTGGGAGCCGCTGAGGAGACGGTGAGGCTGAGGGGGCCCGGGGCGGCTGCGAAGTCGGTGGGGCTGTGAGGGCTGAGAGGGGGAGCGGCGGGGCTGAGAGAGCTGAGGGGGACTGAGAGATGGAGGGAGGTGGTTTAGGCTAAGGGGACTGGGGGACTGGGAGGGGTGTGGCGGCATCGCGGGCACTGAGGGCACCGGAGAGCTGAGAGCTATGGGGGTGGCTCGGGGGTCCGAGGGCGATGGCTCTGGGGTCCGAGGGTGATGGCTCTGGGGGTCCGAGGGCGATGGCTCTGGGGTCCGAGGGCGATGGCTCTGGGGTCCGAGGGCGATGGCTCTGGGGGTCCGAGGGTAGTGGGGGCCTGGGGGCCTGAGGGCAATGGCGGCACTGGGGGTATGAGGGTGATGTTGGTGACGGGGACTGACGGCTATGGCTCTGGGGGTCTGAGGACGATTGGGGGCTCTGTGGGCCTGAGGGCAATGGCAGCACTGGCACACCGGTGGCCGGTGGTGACCATGGTGCCAGTGGAGACCTTGCTGCCATCAGCCTGAGATCAGCAGCTGTTGAAGTTGTGTTGCAGGTGTGTGAGGAGACGCTTTCATCATCCTGCCCTGAAATGGCTGCCTTTTTGGAGGTAACTCTACTTGATAGCAATGCTGGGGTCTGGACTGAAGAGTTTTTTTAGTGTTGTTTTTAATGCTAAGCTTTTTTAATGTTAAGCTTTTAATGGACAGTGAAGCATTTGCTTGGTAAAGCAAGATTTTGAAAGGAAGAGGGAATCAAAAATATCCCACATTAATGAGCATAAGACATGTTAGCCTGCGTTGGCCAAGTTCAGGTGCTCATTTTCATGGGAAAAATACATAGTGCAGGTGTATCTGTGAGGATGAAGTGGAAACCTTTTAGGTTATAACTTAACCAAATCCAAGTCTATTTCTTTTGGTTTTGAACACAAAGGAAAAGCAAGATCTGGACTGCACTTGCTGCTGCTGTGTAAGACCTACCTTTCCTATAGCCACGAACAAAAAGCTGTTTGTGTATGTGCTAGAGGTGCAGTTTTATTGTCCTCTCAGTATCTTGATGCCTTCAGTAAAGTTTCTAGCTGGGAAATCCTTAGCTGATGGCAACTGGCCACTATTGCTCTCAGTGTTCCAATGATTAGTTCATGTTCCTCTTGGATATCTCCCTAGAAAGAGATGTGTATTCTGATCAAGTCCCTGCAAAGCTCTAGGCTGGATAAGATTGTTTTGCTCAGGGCAGTGTGGGGAGGAGCAGGTCACTGTGCCAGCACGGAGTTGGCAGGACTCCTTCCTTAGCGCCCTCTCAGTGTATTGTCTCCTGTTCCTTAAACACTGTCAGCTGTTGAACTGCATTTGGGAAGCTTATCTTTTCCACTGTTGAAGGTTCAGACTTTGGGGCCCAGACTTCCTCGTTAGGAATCAGGGATTAAGTGTGTGAGTCATGGAGTTGGGGTGCAGGTGTTTTGAAGCCTTCTGACCTGTGTGACTAGTGAGAAGGCAGATGTTGATCCCGGATATGAAGTGGTTAAAGAGGTCAAGGTTTTACTCTGTGCTGAAGAACAATTCAGGGACTATTAGGCCTTTTGCTTGACAGATTCCCTCTTTTGATTAGACGTCTGCTTTCTCTTAACTCTTGCCTCTTCCCAGACTCCCCTGGAGTGTTCAGTTCCAGTATTGGCACAAGTCTTTTTTTGCATATTATTATACAACTTTGCCAAAGTTTCTGTATTTCTGTACTTCTATTTGAAGCACACATACTACTTTTCAAAAACTTGTCTTTCCTTACCTGGAGGAAATGTTACAGGCTCTGAACAGCCATTCTTCTTTATCATACTGATGGCTATTCACAGAAGAGATGAATAATCTAGAACAGGTGATAGTGAGAATATCTTTCTGTCTAAAGGTAATTTCCAGGTGCTTAACTTGGGCCTTCACTTCCTCAGTGGAACAGAAACCTAACATGGTTGTCCAGCTTTTGGGTTTGTTTTACCCAACAGATTTTGCTACGTGATCCTGGAAATACATCAGTTTGGTAGATACTTTCCTCCAAAATACATATGGAGGGGCAGCAGAGGACTCCAAAGAGCATGCAACACATTAGGATTTAATGTCTTAGCAAGTGGATGGGGTGTAGGGTGATATTCCCAGCCATAAATCTGTGGTTTGTGTGCAGTTTTGCACCATACAGCCCTGTACAGTGGCTTGAGTGAGGGCTGCCCTTCCTGACACACATGTTGGTGACAAAGAGGGCACTTGGATTTCTGCTGGCTGGTTTCTTACAGTCCATGCGATAAGCAAGGGCAAAGTTCAGACTGTGAGGACACACAACCTTACTTGGTGTATTCTTGTTTTCTGATTTCATGTTTTGCTTAATAGGCCTTTTGTAAGAGCCTGAGTTTCAGTTTTGCAACCTTAATTCTGAGTTTAAAACACTTGTCATGTAAACCATGTGGGTGATGTTCACCTTGTGTTACATATCCTTTTGGAGTGGAGAAGAACAGTTATTATTTTGCCCTTTGAGTGATTACAAGAAAATACTGAGTGATCTTTGATTTTTTTGAGGTTTTTTTGTGTTTGTCTTGTTTTATTTTGTTTTGTTTTTCTTTTGAGGAGAATATTAGTATCCTCTCTGAGTCTTCAGGAAAGGAGTCTGGGAACAAGGCTGCAGCAGAGAGAGCTTCTCCTGGCAATGTGAGCTGTGGGAACAGTTCCCCGGAAGCAGAGGACACTGGTAAGAAGAGAGTCCTGGTGTTCAGACATGTCTGAGCCTGACTGTGACAGAAAGAGAGGTCACAGCAGTTTAGATACTATTCAGTGTCTGTGCTTCCTTGTTCCTTCAGTTCAAATACTGTACTTGTACAGCCTCACAGAACACTCACCAATGCACTTCTCAAGATGTGCTTATACTCAGTGCTCTTCTGTGCAAAAGGGTGTGAATTAGAGCAGTGAATAAAACCTGACAGTCTGGGATTTGTCACCAACCCAGATGTCACCACTTCGAGCTGATGTCCATCAGTGTTTGCTGCAGAGTGATAGTGCTACAGAGGCAACACTGAGTAATGAGGGGACTGTTCGAGCAACAGGGAAAAACCCCACCAAACTGATGAAGTCAGTGCAGAAGTCCAAACTTTCTGTTTCAAATCACTAACTAAATTAAGTTCCAGTCTGATGATACTTATTCTGAGACACATGAGAAAAGAAAGCAACAGAACACCTGAGGTCAAACAATGGACAAATCCAGTAACTAAAGGAAAAACCTAAATGTCCACAAATTAGCGAGACCTAAGAGCACTTTGGATCCATTCTAGAGAAAAGCTGGTACAGCCTGCAGTCCTTGTAGGGAGCTTTTCCCTCCCAGCTGTTCACCCAAGAACTGATGGCAGAGTTGAAGAAGCTGTTGCTCACTTCAGAGGGTAGTGAGCCAGATAATGGTGCAAGATAGTAACTCATATTGCCCATCAGTTTCCATCATTTTAGCAAGGACTGAGGTCTCTCTGCCAGCACAGAGAAAGAACAAGGCCAGGGTGGTGGTTGTGAATGTGACTGTCTCAGTTTAAAGCCCTCGTGGGTGCCATTTGCAGTGCAAGTGCAGAGACTTTATCAGGTACTTCAAAACTTCCCAGTTTTGAAAACTTGGATTCCTATTCTTTAAACAGCAGGACCCGAATTCTCAAGTGAGAGCCTGCCTTCCGGTGATGTTTTATAGTCCCTGACGGAAGTACAACTGCTCCATGGGCTGCCAGGACCCATGTGGACTCAGTATTTCCTTTTTTTGCTTCCCAGATATCCACCTGCTGTACCTCTCCAAAAGGGCTGCTCTGCGTGGGAGGAAGAGGCCGAAGCCCAAGTCAGGGCTGGCCCCATCAGGTGGCGATAGCTGCGGCTCTGCGGGGCCAGGGCACGCTCCCCAGAGCCCTGAGCTCCCTGTGGACACCAAGAGGCTGAAGGAAGCCAACAAGGAGAACCTCGGGACCGGCCTGAAGGTGCCTGAGCGTCCCCCCAGCCGCTCCCAGCAGCGCTTGGATACACTCCCGAGCAGAGATCCGCCCTCGGCCAACAGGAACGGTGAGATGGGGCCGTGGAGAGGGCGGGTCTGACAGGCATGTGGGATTTGGAAACCTCTGGGAGAATGGGTCAGGCATGAGCACTCCGTGGGTTGTGTGCAGAGGGGAAAGACCTGGCACTGAGGTTTCTGGCAGTTGTCTCCTGCCAAAGAAACTGCAAGTGAAGCAGTTTTTCAAGAGGATTGAATGGATAGGTAAGAGCTAAAGACAAGGTATTTGTTGCTGGAAAGCCCCAGAACTTGGTGTTTTGTTTTTTTTTTTTCTGCTTGAGAGGATCAGAGATTTTAGAGTCCCTGATAGAAGTACAATTGCTGCCAAGGGAATCGTACACATGACCAATATTTACTCAATATCCGTTTTTTTGGATCTGCCTCTAGATGCTTCCAGGACAAGTGAAGCTTCTCCTGGGTTGCTTCCAGGGCATGAGGCATCTCCAGCTCTTCCAGAGAAAGTCGTTGCCACTCCAAGAATTTAATTAAGGTCACAGTCCCATCCATGTCCACAGTCCTAGTTGAAACTTATATATTGTCAGGAGTGTTGTAACAATCTGTAGTAAGTTTTTAAACTGAAATTGATATTTGCTTGTATTGGCAGTACAGTTGTAGCCCTTTGCAATAAAATTTTTAAATTGAAATGGGTGTTGATTTGTGTTATTCACAGCAATTAGCAGATGTAAATGTTATGATGCTGGAAGATTTTGGGAATGAGTGAGGGGGACTGGGGCAAAATATCCAGGCATGCCCAGCAGATCTCCCAGTTCCAGTCAAGCTGGGAGTGAAATCACAGATTTTCGATAAGCAGCCCAATCCACTGTGTAAATAATTCTGAAATCCAAAGAAAACTCTCTATAGGAGAGGTAAAAAGGGGAATAACTCCAGAGAAATACTGGCAAATAGATTTCTCTGAACACCCTAAATATGGGTGTTCCAGGTATCTGCTGATATTAGTGGATACATATTCAGGACACCAAATGTGCAAACAGGTCTGCATAGAACCTTATGTACTTCTGTAACACCAACAGAGGTGCAAACCTGGTATAAAATCCTCCACACATCACACAGATTGAGACTGACAAATTTACACTATTTCAGCATGGAGCTTCCTTTACCTGCTACTTCAAATCCCCCTGGATTACCCAAACTGAAAGACATTTCCTCAATGGAAGTGAAATTCATGCTTTACCAATGTTTTACACTTATCTTGCCAGATAAACGAGTAGCAAATTTGTTCATAATCACTACTGCAGTTCAATCTTTGGTTTGACACGAAAAGACAAAAAAGCTCAGCAGGATATAGAACAGATGTAAAGCTAATTAGAAAGAAATACTTCACCAGTGAAGGTTGCAGATCACAGGACAATAGGTTTCTGGTGAGGGAACGCTGGCTCTAAAGGGAAGAGAAGCTAAGCTCTTCAGGTTTGATTTGTTCACTCTTTCAGAGTGCAAAGAAGATACGGTGTTCCAGAGTGGAATCTGGTGCCAGAAGTTTGAGAATAGGGTGCGATAAGAGCACCAGAGAATTATCTCTGTTTATAAGCAGCAGCCCTGCAGAGCTTTGACTTAAACTGAAAATCTTGTTTGACTAAGGAGAACTTTGATCTATTGCTGTTTTGGAGAAAGAAAAAGAAAATAACAAAGCACCTGATGTCTGTATTGAGATCAAGTGTATCACAGAGGGCTAACAGTGCACCAAGGCAAGAGACCTTCCCATAATTTAAGCTGTTGTTTTCCTAATAATAATAATGATTTCCCAGTACACGTTGATTTAAACAACCATCATCACAGTAAGTCAGATCTTTCCTTGCTCTGGCCTTTCACATATCACTAAGGAAAGGTTAGGCCAATTTATTCCCAGCAAGATTTTGAATTCTTCAGAAGTCAGAACTGAATTCAAGTCAGGTTATAAACACTGTGACATCCAGACTTCTAAAACCTTGTATTCTCTTTTATTTGACTGGAGACCAGCTTGTTCCTCTGTCAGAAGAAAAAGCTAGATGTGGGACTAATCCTTTCTTTGATAGGAAACAGTTTTTAACAGTAAAGTGGAAAAAAGGTCTTTGAACAAAGGTTTACTTACAAAAATGCTACTGCTGCAACAACCAGCAGGACACAAAAGCATAGACTGTGTTATTAAGTGTGAAGTAGTGCTACTGAGCCTGTGTTTTCCATACTATGAAAACCCACAGTACTTTGAGAATCCCTGACTGAATATTGTTACTTAACCTCCTTAACTGTGCAAATTATGGTGGGTTCGAAGAACTCAGTTTAATTACTGCAGTGCTTTGATCACTCCTGTGCACATATGTGGTGGTTTTAATCTAGGCCTTCCTTGGTTACCAGTTTGTAACCAAGGAAGAGCTAGTGTTCCCAGTATTCCATATGATTTTTACGTAAATCAGGGTATAAATAAGAAGGGAGGAGAGGCCTTCACTCTCTTCTCTTCCGGCGAGGTTCGGGAACAGTGGGTCCTTGCGTTGGTCTTGCTTATCTAAGGCTGAGGCCTGCAGCGACCGCTGGCCTGCCACATGGAGGATAGCAGAGTGCTGGCCATGTGTGCCAATCCTGCTTTTTTCTAAGGGACGTGGTGAGATTTGTTTTACTAGTTATTTTACTAATTCTCGGGTTTGATTGCATATATCTGCTCCGTGTCCCTTTTTGTTCCCTTTTGTTCCCCTTTCCCTATCCCTTCTGGGGGTGTTTCGATTCCTTTTTGCTGTGTATGTAGCATCTTAACTGTAATATACATCAAATATATATTTTTTTATATAACTAGCTGGATTTTCGGGTTCTTCAATTTACATAGTTTTTTTCCTTTGCTCTGGGGGAAGAAGGAAGGGGGAAGGGGGGGAGGTTGCTACTGGGGTTTGGGCATTTGGCAGGGAGCCAAGTCCAAACCATCACAACATACAACACTCAAAACCCATTAAACAACAATATTTAGTTTTTTGGCAGGTATTTGGTCTTGAAGGAAAACTTTTTGCTAATTTTTCCCTCTCTTTAAAACTCACTGTTGTTGGTTGATATCAGAACCTAGAATGCTAAAGCATGCGGGAAAGGGCTGCAAATGTATTTGCCACCCTTTTATCCAACATCAGCAACAGTGTGGTTTGCATACGGACTTGTAAAACAGCACTGCTGCTGTAGTCAAACTAGTGTTGATTAGTTGAGTTAGATATACTCTGGAGAAGGTGGTTATCTTTAGCCAGTGTAGGAAAGGGGGGTTTGGTTGAGGTTTTTTTCAATAAAACTCAAGGTGAGAAAGACCCACAGTCCTTCACCCTGCCAACACTCATGTTTCCTTGGACATAATCTTTTCAGCAGCTTACTAAGAAAATTATGAGAATATTTAATGTGCTGCTGGATCTCTTAGAATGTTCCTGCAGATGCTTGATTGGATTTACCTAAATCCTCCAATGCATAATTGTGGCAATTGTGATAGGATAAGCAAGTTGAAAGAGTGAACAATAAACAGGATCTTGTCACTTTATAATAAAAGAGTGTTTTGGGGTGAGGGCATGGTTTGGTTTTGTGAGGGCTTGTTTTTTATGGCAAATATGAGAAAGTTTGTAGGTTCTCTCTGATCCACAGTAAAAGAGCTATAAGGAAAAGGTGGTATCTTGAAATCCAGATAAGGAAAGCTGGTTAGAAAGAACTCATAACACTTCTCTCCTTTAGCTGACTACTCACAGACACTTCGGACTGTGAGCAGTATCATCTGACTACTCACAGAGGCTTTGCTGAAATCCTTCTGCTGTAATACAAAACAGACATCAAAGGAAGGTGCCTTGATAAGAGGCAGCATTTCACTGTTTGCCTTGAACTGATTAAGGTATGAGCTCTTTGGAGTTTTTTTAGAGAGGAAAAAAAAAACCCCAAACCTGTTTGTTGAATTCTCTGGAAAATCTGACTTACTGAAGGAAGTAACATTTTGTGATACTTGTGCTTTCAGAATGTGCAAATTTTCTACTTATCATTCATTCAGACGCTTATTAAGTCAATAATGCTCTTATTAATGTTTTAACAAAGCTGATTGAAATAAAATTACTTGGCATTTCAGCTTCAATGTTCAGTGATGTTTTGGATATGAGAATATTCGTCTGGAGGAGGAAAAGAATGTATTTTCACAGATCCATTATGTTTTATTGTTCCAACACACAGATGCTCTCATTTCCTGGGACTGCAAGGAGAGGTGGATGCTGATGTACCAGCTTCCTCCTCCACCTTGGAGCCTGCAGGCCCGCTGGTGGACCAGGAGCTGCTGGAGCTGCCTATGGAGCTTCTGATGCTGCTGGAGCTGGAGCTGCTGGACCTGGATCTGGAGCTGGGCACTGGGCCATTGTTCTCATCCCTGGCAGCAGCAGAGCCCAGCAGCCTCTGTGCCTCCTCACTGCACCGGCCCACAATGACACTGCAGATGCTGTGGATCAGTGGTGCCGCCTGCTCGTTGAGCAGAGGCTCCATGATCTCCACCAAGACTTCTGCATTTGGTCCGTAGAGGCAGAGGCTGTACAGGATGATGCTCTGTACGTCCTCCACAAGCCACCACTGGTCCCAGTATATTCCCTCCAGCCTCTGGCGCAGGCAGGGCCACACTCGGTCCAGGAGATGCTGTTGTTGACGGAACAGTCCTGCCCACACCTCGGGCAGGATGGCACCCGTGGGCTGTGGTCCTGCAGCCCCGTGCCCGCCCGGGGACAGTGTTCCGGGTGGAGGAGGTGGAGTGGGCACCACAGGGCAATGGGGGCTGTTTCCAGGTAGGTGGGAGGGAGCTCTCCCTGCCCAACTGTTGATCTCCGGTGACTCCTCGGGGGCTCTGACGGCCCTTCCTTCTCGCTCCCTCCCGGCCATGGTGCTGTGCAGGGCGGGCGGACACCGCGGGGCGGGCACCTCAGGCCGGTTTTGCAGGGGAGCCGGGGGGAGCCTTTTGTGACGCCAGAGCTTTCTGAGTCACCGTCACCAGCGAGGTCACAGTGGCTGCACCCGATGCGTCACAAAGGGGATCCCCGGCTCCCCTATAAAAGCGGGTGATCCGCACGCCTCGCACACCACCATGGCCCGCTACCGCCGGCGCTCCCGCAGAGCCGCAGCCGCAGCCGGAGCCGCCGCCGCTCCCGCCGCCGGGGCGCGCGGAGGAGGCGCCGGGCTGGATCCCGCCGCTCCAGATATCGCCGGCGCCGCCGCGGCGGCAGGAGGCGCAGACGCCGCTGAGCGGGCAGCGGGCACCGCGGACTCGGCTCCGCACGGACACACGGCGGGCCTGACAATAAATTAGCACGGCAAAGCTCACGTGGGTGTGCGTGTCTCTGCTTCGCCCCGCCACGGCGCCTCATTCCGCGTTTCATCTGCTGCTGCTGCTCCTGTGTCTCCATCTCCGCTGTTCCACAACAGCGCTCCCAAACTCTGCCCGTCCCCGTTTTTCTTTGCCCTGTTCATGTCCATCCCAAAGCTGAATCAAGAAGGAATGTGAATGGCAGACCTTTTCAGAGGCCCCCTACCTGATATTGGTGATTTATAGGAATATATTTACATCAGTTCATCAAATTTATTTACATCAAATGGTGAACCTCTTACATAAACTATTCCTTATTTAAACAAATCCAT